AATAACCGCCCCTTCCCCCCCTTGTGTGGTGTTGTGGGAAACGAACAAAAAAACCTATAATGCACACCAATGACAGTAAGATAAATAAATAATAACGTTACCCACATCACCCCACACATCTAGGGCTCCCAAGTGCAACACCACCGGAGACATCAGCTGCTATACTAAAAAATATAAAAGTGACTGCTGAGATGGTCCTTCCTTCAAGCACTCGCCCCAGATTCCTGAGGAAAGACAAGCTGTTCTCTCTGCACACACTGTTGCTGGCTGGGTCCTGCTATCGGCTGTTCCCTGTTGCAATCAGTATTCCCTGCCAAAACCTCCTCTTACTCCCACAGTTAGATTATCAGATTAATATCAGAATCTCAGTTTGGCCAGCTAGAGTATAAGAACATTAATCAAACCAAATTCTTTCTCAGGCACACCGGGAAGGAGTAATGATAAGGTAAGTAAGTTTAATAGCATATACTAAAGTAATAATAATAATATAATGAACTATTCAAAATCACAAAAACAAATTTTACACTATTGACTGAACTATGAGGTCTACTTTAATTTGATTTTCCACAGCTTCTTCCGGCTTGACTTCTGGCAGCCTTGTATATAATAAAGTTTGTACACAATTATCATTGTAAGTCCTCCTCTTAGTAAGTCACTCAAAAGCCTCTTCTTGACCAGTGTATCACTTCACATATAAATGCACGTATTAAATCTCAATAACATTAATCATGTTATCAAAATCATAGAAATCAATGCAAAATTAAAAACACAGCCTCGTCTCAAAATTGACCATCCATTCGCTAGACAAACATTTGTATCTATAAATTTATTTCATTCCTACACAGGCATACATTTTCTTTCATTGTGTTAATCACGTGCAATCATTCAGTATTTCATACCTACATATAATGCCATACATATATATACACATTAAATGCAAGTGATCAAATGTAAAAATCAACTTCCGGCATTTCCCAGGTAGCCTAGGGAAATACCTGCTACCCTCCATTAGTTGGTTATAAACCTATAGGTTTGTGGACTATTGTCAGAATTGCCTCGTTTAGCTATACACCATTAAACTCCGTTTATCACTCCTAATGTGACACCAATAATCCACATTTATACCAGTCGATTTCTTAATTCAAGTATTCGGCTGGAAACTGTTCTTGCCGCTGGCCCGCGGACCTCAGTCTCCGCCGACCTTCGTCGCGGTCGCACTGCGTCCTCTGGATTACTGAAGGCCTGCGAATTTCAACACAAACCACTGCCTGTCAACAAATTACAATTAGACCTGGAATGCGTGTGCATATACCTTACACTTAAGTTCGAGGGACACACCTCACACGTGATCTATCGAAATAGATCCCCGTGGCGCAGTGGTAAAGCAGTCGCCCGGCACTTCGCGAGTGCTTTGGCTTAGATTCGTATCCTGGCCGGGGAGAATTGACTGGGCGCCAATCCTTAACTGTAGCCTCTGTTCAGCGAGCAGTGAATGGGTACCTGGTTGTTAAACTATTTGTGAAGTCATATTCTGAGGAAAATTAGGATTAAGGACCTGCCCGAAACGCTATGCGTGCTAGTGGCTTTACAAGAATGTAAGAACTCTTGTACATATAAAATATAAAAAATACACATTAATCCACTCATTGTTACTGTTATTCAATACAAGAGCCCTCACCTGGCTGTCGGGGGCTTTGAACACTGGCCCGTGCTATAATGACCCGAGCCTCACACGATCGGCCGGGGCTCTAAGCTCTTGGTCTCCAATTTCTGATACTATATAGGCCGGTTTCTACAACCGTCTTAACTGTTGCTACTAAAATACACGCCGGTTCCCACAACCGCGCCACTGGCACATAAATATCACTGTTACTGTGAAGGGCCGGTTCTCACATAACCGGCCGGGGCCTTATATAATACTGTATCATTATAGGGCCAACCTCCTGTTGCCCAGGTCTACTGTACTGGTCCCTTAACTCTGTAAATGTTCACTTAAAGATGCTAGTGCCCGTCCTTACCTTCAGGGCACCTATAGACCAAACTGACATACTGGTTTGTTCTTTTGGGTCGGGCCTGCGTACACGGCTTCTGGCTGACAATATCCGGCCAGCAGTAGCGGAGCGACAGGTGGCAGGAGTACTTGTGACCTTTCAGAGTCTCGGGAGTAAAGTGACCTGCCTCCGCCAATCTCCTCTTGCTTTACTTGCGCGACGTCACTATCCTGGTTCGCACTGATTGGTTCTAACATGTAGTATCGGCTTGGTAGCCATGACAACCTGGTGTCTTGAGCTTCTAGAAGCTCTGGCGACGTCACTGCACCTGGTGTCCTCTCCGAGACCTCTTGACCGTATAATCATCTCTTTAATATTGAAACATTGGCACTCATGCTACCTAATTTCCTCTGAATAAAATATACCGGCACGAATGAATAAACAAATAAATGGCTATCGAATGGGAACACTTCTCACAGAGGAGGGGTCCCAGACTCTCACAGAGGAGGGGTCCCAGACTCTCACAGAGGAAGGGTCCCAGACTCTCACAGAGGAGGGGTCCCAGACTCTCACAGAGGAAGGGTCCCAGACTCTCACAGAGGAGGGGTCCCAGACTCTCACAGAGGAAGGGTCCCAGACTCTCACAGAGGAGGGGTCCCAGACTCTCACAGAGGAGGGGTCCCAGACTCTCACAGAGGAGGGGTCCCAGACTCTCACAGAGGAGGGGTCCCAGACTCTCACAGAGGAGGGGTCCCAGACTCTCACAGAGGAGGGGTCCCAGACTCTCACAGAGGAGGGGTCCCAGACTCTCACAGAGGAGGGGTCCCAGACTCTCACAGAGGAAGGGTCCCAGACTCTCACAGAGGAAGGGTCCCAGACTCTCACAGAGGAGGGGTCCCAAACTCTCACAGAGGAGGGGTCCCAGACTCTCACAGAGGAAGGGTCCCAGACTCTCACAGAGGAAGGGTCCCAGACTCACAGAGGAGGGGTCCCAGACTCTCACAGAGGAGGGGTCCCAGACTCTCACAGAGGAGGGGTCCCAGACTCTCACAGAGGAGGGGTCCCAGACTCTCACAGAGGAAGGGTCCCAGACTCTCACAGAGGAAGGGTCCCAGACTCTCACAGAGGAGGGGTCCCAGACTCTCACAGAGGAGGGGTCCCAGACTCTCACAGAGGAAGGGTCCCAGACTCACAGAGGAGGGGTCCCAGACTCTCACAGAGGAGGGGTCCCAGACTCTCACAGAGGAAGGGTCCCAGACTCTCACAGAGGAGGGGTCCCAGACTCTCACAGAGGAGGGGGTCCCAGACTCACACATAGGAGGGGGGTCCCAGACTCACAGAGGAGGGGTCCCAGACTCACAGAGGAGGGGTCCCAGACTCTCACAGAGGAGGGGTCCCAGACTCTCACAGAGGAGGGGTCCCAGACTCTCACAGAGGAGGGGGTCCCAGACTCACAGAGGAGGGGTCCCAGACTCTCACAGAGGAAGGGTCCCAGACTCACAGAGGAGGGGTCCCAGACTCTCACAGAGGAGGGGTCCCAGACTCTCACAGAGGAGGGGTCCCAGACTCTCACAGAGGAGGGGTCCCAGACTCTCACAGAGGAGGGGTCCCAGACTCTCACAGAGGAGGGGTCCCAGACTCTCACAGAGGAGGGGTCCCAGACTCACAGAGGAGGGGTCCCAGACTCTCACAGAGGAGGGGTCCCAGACTCTCACAGAGGAGGGGTCCCAGACTCTCACAGAGGAGGGGTCCCAGACTCACAGAGGAGGGGTCCCAGACTCACAGAGGAGGGGTCCCAGACTCACAGAGGAGGGGTCCCAGACTCTCACAGAGGAAGGGTCCCAGACTCACAGAGGAGGGGTCCCAGACTCTCACAGAGGAGGGGTCCCAGACTCTCACAGAGGAGGGGTCCCAGACTCTCACAGAGGGGGTCCCAGACTCACAGAGGAGGGGTCCCAGACTCACAGAGGAGGGGTCCCAGACTCACAGAGGATAGACAGAGGAGGGGTCCCAGACTCACAGAGGAGGGGTCCCAGACTCACAGAGGAGGGGTCCCAGACTCACAGAGGAGGGGTCCCAGACTCACAGAGGAGGGGTCCCAGACTCACAGAGGAGGGGTCCCAGACTCACAGAGGAGGGGTCCCAGACTCTCACAGAGGAGGGGTCCCAGACTCTCACAGAGGAGGGGTCCCAGACTCACAGAGGAGGGGTCCCAGACTCTCACAGAGGAGGGGTCCCAGACTCTCACAGAGGAGGGGTCCCAGACTCTCACAGAGGAGGGGTCCCAGACTCACAGAGGAGGGGTCCCAGACTCTCACAGAGGAGGGGTCCCAGACTCTCACAGAGGAGGGGTCCCAGACTCACAGAGGAGGGGTCCCAGACTCACAGAGGAGGGGTCACACAGAGAGGGGTCCCAGACAGAGGAGGGGTCCCAGACTCACAGAGGAGGGGTCCCAGACTCACAGAGGAGGGGTCCCAGACTCACAGAGGAGGGGTCCCAGACTCTCACAGAGGAGGGGTCCCAGACTCTCACAGAGGAGGGGTCCCAGACTCTCACAGAGGAGGGGTCCCAGACTCTCACAGAGGAGGGGTCCCAGACTCACACAGAGGAGGGGTCCCAGGACTCACAGAGGAGGGGTCCCATTTTATGTTCCATCTGGAATCAAAACATAACATAATTGCGTAATTAGACAGTTGAATAATACACAATTTTGTAATTAGAAGTTGAGTAATTTCAGTTGATTAATTGAACAGTTGAGTAATAACAGAGTTTCATTATATAGTTCAGTATTTAAACACTTGGGGAGGATTGACTAGGCACCAATCTTTAACTGTACGCCTCTGTTCACCCAGCAGTGAATGGGTACCTGGTTGTTGAACGTTTTGGCGGGTCGTATTCAAGGGGGAAAATTAAGATTAAGGACTTGCCTGAGACGCTATGCGTGCTGGTGGCTGTACAAGAATGTAAAGTATGAGGAGGGGTAATTAGGAGAGAGGTGCTAGACTCACCTGCACGGCATTCGCGCCGCCCTCGGCTCGGTAGGCGACCAGTTTAGGAGGAGGTGTGAGTGCCTGGTGTAGAGAGAGAGCCTCCGTCGTCGCCGCCGCCGCCGCCGACAGGGAGCGCAGGGAGAGTGAGGAGGAGGAGCCGGCCAGGTTGACCACACTCTCGGCGCTCACGATGGCGTGCGGCGGGGGCGGTGATCCGGTCCTCGGGGCAGTGTGGAGGGTGATGCGAGGCTGCGACAGCTCCAGTAGAGGGTTGGAAGGCTTGTACACCACACGATCCTGTTCCTCGCCGCTCTCGCTGGCCGACACGCTGCCTCGCCGCACCTCGAATGCGTCGCCGGACTCATCCCGCCGGAGACCGGACGGCGGCGGCGACCCGATAAATCGGGCGGACAGATCGCGCTCCAGTGGACTCGCCTGAGGATTCACACGCTACGTTACTCACCCGTCCTCATCAACAATGGGCCAAATGTTCATCCCATGCAGCCACCAAATCCCATGTTGACGAATGTGAAAGACGTTTTACACTCTACTCACAACTGATGACGTTCGAACATTTCTCAAGTATTCTTTGCTGACGACCTCTGTTTGCATTGCAATTCTGAATTCTTTACCCACGTACTTCAAATTGAAATATTTGCCAACAAAACCTAAATCCCTAACTTAACATACGTCTAAATATGTAAATATGCTATTATATAATTCTATTTTATAATGAGAAAATTCCTATTTTGAATAAACACCACGATTAAAATTGGTGTAGGCGTCTTTGGGGTCGGCCGCTGGATGGAATGAACATTGCCTGAGGACGAGTTGACGGTACTATATCTCCCACACATGTGGCATATCGTAGGAATTTTTTCACATATGTCCCAGAACACAGAATTTGTGGAACAGTGAACAGATCTTGAACAAACCCGCCTGAGACCTTTGGCTGTTCTGACATTGTAGCAAAACAAAGGATGAGAAAATAACAGCATTTAGTACTCTACCCTCCACCCTCTCCCTCACTCTCACCTCCACCCTCTCCCTCACTCTCACCTCCACCCTCTCCCTCACTCTCACCTCCACCCTCTCCCTCACTCTCACCTCCACCCTCTAACACTCCCTCACTCTACCCTCCACCCTCTAACACTCCCTCACTCTACCCTCCACCTTCTAACACTCCCTTACTCTACCCTCCACCTTCTAACACTCCCTCACTCACACTCCACCCTCCTAACACTCCCTCACTCACACTCCCACCCTCTAACACTCCCTCACTCTACCCTCCACCTTCTAACACTCCCTCACTCACACTCCCACCCTCTTAACACTCCCTCACTCTCACCTCCACCTTCTAACACTCCCTCACTTTCTCGTCCGCCCTCAAACACACTCCCTCACCCTCACTCTCTCGTCCACTCCACTCTCTCCAACCTCTAACACTCCTCCTCCTCCTCCTCCTCCTTCCTCTAACACTCTCCTCCTAACACTCCCTCACTCTCTCCTCCACCCTGCTAACGCTCTCTTACTCCGCCTCCCCCTGGGAGCCTGCAGGTACCTGTATGAGCGGGCTGCGCGGCTTCTGGTGGAGGGGCGGGAGGTTCCTGGGCTTGCGTCGCTGCTCCTCGGCGGAGGGTCGTCCTCCACCCATCACATGGTCCTCCTCCAGCGACCTGAGGGCGACACTCACCCCAGTTAGGTGGCTTACACACACACACACATGGAATGCATTAGGCAGTGATGTGGTGGAGGCAGAATCCATACACATTCTCAAATGTGTATGAATAGATGTATGTGTATTATATTGAATAGATGTATGTATATTATATATAAATGTATATTATAGAGCCCAGTAGGCTCAGAAATCTGTACACCAGTTGGTGGACATTTGAGAGCCGGGACCAAAGAGCCAGAGCTCAACCCCCGCAAGCTTAACTAGGTGAGCACAGCTAGGTGAGCACACAAATGTCAGTGAAGGGATATTGGAAGTGACTAAAAAGGGAAGATTCTTAACGAATAAAAGGGTGAACAGACACGTGGAGTAGAGATTTACCCTGACCAGAAGAGTTAGGGCGATGATTTGGGCGGGAAACGTCTGGCTGTAACTTGGGCTCCTCACCTGCGAGTTAATTTTTAACTTCTCCAAAGCTCATTGAACACCTATACTGGACCTGACGTATTTGGCTAAGGTTGACTTAGCATCCTTAGAGGCAGAGAGGAAAGAAAAACAAATGATTTAAGCAGCAATATATTGTCCATATGGGCATGCTGAAAGGGAGGGGGGGGGGGGGAATGGGGGTTTGATGGAGGGGGAGAGTTGGGGGGGGGGATGTTGAAGGTTAGGGGAGGGAGGGGAGAAGGGGGGGTGGTTGTTGTCCCATGTTGTGAGATTATAAAAATATTCTTCAACGTTTTAGATTTAGGGAAGGGGAGTGAGAATAGTGTTGAAGATTTATTATGGTGGGGTGTGGTGATGGTGGTGATTGTGGTAGGGGTGGTGGTGGTTGTGGTAGGGGTGGTGGTGGTAGGGGAAGGGATGGTGGTAGGGGAAGGGATGGTGGTGGTGGTAGGGGTAGGAATGGTGGTGGTGGTGATTGTGGTATGGGTGGTGGTGGTAGGGAGGGATGAAGGTTGACAGAGGAAGAAAGGAGGGAGAGAGAGAGAGAGAGACGAGAGATGATGTAGGGGGGGGGGGGATGAAGATTACTTAAGGTGGTAGTGTTTTGTCACACAATCGACCAACCAGTTAAAAATGCGACTCATCAGTATAGCCTAAAACATTGACACGTTTTCTATGCATCGACCTCGAATTGATGGGCGGAGGTTGCTTAGATGCACACGCTTCTGGTTAAGCAGAACAGTTGCATTTTGTACGGAGTGACCAATCGTGAGAACGAGCTGAAGAGACCGGGAGGAGGGGAGGGTTGGGGGTGTAGGGAGGTTGGGGGACAGTGAGGGTTGACTGAAGCCGGGGAGGAGAGGTTGTAGAGTCAGCGACGCGGGAGGTGGCAGCCACCACAACCCCCCCCCCCCCAACCCCACCACTACCACCACCACTAACTGCATCACAAAGGCGGTATTGACAGTATTTCCATCGACGTATTCATGAGTCATTGTTTTTCAGTGATGAACTTTATCAAGTCTAATTATAGGGCTAGACTTGCTGACGTAGCTATAGTCTAGCGTGCACAGCGCTCCCCACAACCACACACTCAAGCCTCATACACCAGTCCGTTCTCCACCAGAGGATCAAAAATGGAAATGGGAACAACAGTACGTCAATTTCGTCAGCCGCTTCCATTTTCTAGCTTGCGGGGGTTGAGCTCTGGCTCTTTGGTCCCGCCTCTCAACTGTCAATCAACTGGTGTACAGATTCTTGAGCCTACTGGGCTCTGTCATATCTACATTTGAAATTGTGTATGGAGTCAGCCTCCACCACATCACTGCCTAATGCATTCCATCTGTTAACTACTCTGACACTGAAAAAGGCTCATTTGGGTACTCGGTTTCCACCCGGTGTCCCCGGTGTTCGCATACCACCCGTGTTAAACGGTTTATCTTTATCTACCCTGTCAATTCTTGAGAATTTTGTACGTAGTGATCATATCTTCCCTTACTCTTCTGTCTTCCAGTGTCGTGCATTTCCCGCAGCCTTTCCTCGTAACTCATGCCTCTTAGTTTTGGGACTAGCCTAGTGGCATACCTCTGAACTTTTTCAAGCTTCGCCTTGTGCTTGACAAGGTACGGGCTCTATGCTGGGGCCGCATACTCCAGGATTGGTCTTACATATGTGGTATACAAGGTTCTGACTGATCCCTTACACAGGTTCCTGAAGGCAGTTCTGATGTTAGCCAGCCTCGCATACGCTGCAGATGTTATTCTTTTGATGTGGGCTTCAGGAGACAGGTTTGGTGTGATATCAACTCCCAGATCTTTCTCTCTGTCCGTTTCATGAAGGACTTCCTCCCACATTCGGTATCCTGTATCTGGCCTCCTGTTTCCGCTGCTTGGTTTCATTACCATACATTACTCGGGTTAAACCTTAGTAGCCATTTTTTGGACCATTCATTCAGTCTGTCTAGGTCATTTTGTAGCCTCATATTATCTTCCTCCGTCTTAATCCTCCTCATAATTTTTGCATCATCAGCAAACAATGAGAGGAATGATTCTATACCATCTGGAAGATCATTTATATATATAAGAAACAGTATGGGTCCAAAGACTGAACCCTGCGGGACTCCACTGGTGACGTCTCGCCCATCTGAGACCTCACACAGTGATTCGCTGTCATCTGTTACTTAGGTACTCTGTTATCCAATGGAGTACCTTCCCTTACACTCCTGCCTGTATCTCTAGCTTTCGCACTAGTCTCTGGTATGGAACTGTGTTAAAGGCTTTCTGGCAATCCAAAAATATGTAGTCTGCCCACCCCCTCTCTTTCTTGTCTGATGCTTGTTGCCTGATTGTAGAATTCAATTAATTCTGTGAGGCATGACTTGCCATCCCTGAAACATGTTTGTGTTGTGTCATACGAAAACTAGGTCGAGTCTCGCTGGTTCATCGCTTCCCCTCATTCTTGTGGGTTCCCTGACCTATGCTGGCTTAAAAATGTTTCTTGTTGTCACCTCCAGTAGTTTAGCTCTCCGTGTTTCCTCTCCTCCATGCGGATCCTTGTTCTCCCAGTCTATCCTTCCATGATTGAAGTCACCCATGATGAGCAGATGGGATCGAATTCTACAGGCAGCAGAGGCTGCCCTCTCAATTATATTGTTAACTGCCATGTTGTTGTTGTCATACTCTTGCCTGGGTCTTCTGTCGTTTGGTGGAGAGTTTTATATCACTGCTACTACTACTACTCTTGGTCCTCCCATCATCATGGTGCCTGTTATGTAGTCTCTAAACCCTTCCCAGCCTGGGATAACCATCTCCTTGAAACTCCATTCCTTTCTCATGAGTAGGGCCACTCCACCTCCTCCCCTTCTCTCCCTCTCTTTCCTTATTACAGTGTATTCCTGGGGGAACACTGCATTTGTTATGATTCCTGAGAGTTTTGTTTCCGTGAGACCAATTACATCTGGATTTACTTCTTGTGATCTTTCCCTAAGTTCATTTGCTTCTCGTTGGTTATAAGATAAAATACTGTTTATAAATTATGTTATTTTCCAATTCCAATATTTTACAATTATACTTCTATAAGTAGACAAAATAAAAATAGAACTCTGTTATACTTCTATAAATAAAAAAACATATATACATAATTAAGCAACCGGACTCATTTTCCTTCAAAGAGTTCATTGTTATTGTTACTAATGCATTAATTTTACTTCTTGGGAATTACTAGTTATTAATAATATATAACTCCTAAAACTGTATAACATTTAAAATAATTCAGAAGAATTGTTGTTATCTGCCCATTCTCTTCAGGGTGCTTCCAACCATGTTGTTATCTTCCTCTTTAAATACAAATATAATTACAAAAAAATATAATCTGTGGCTCAAAATTCCCATGGGTCCGAGAGATAATTTTTTTTTTAGAAGATTATCGAAAATTTGAGGCTCACACCCCTCCAAACGTTCGCCACACCTGGGCTAGCTTAACTTCCGACCCTCCCCAGGATGCAACCCACAACAGCTGGCTAACTCCTGGGTACCCTACTTTACTACAAGGTTAACAGCGGCATCGGTGAAAGGCAAAGTCAAATCCCAGCCAGTTCTGTCCCAACCCCGGGATCCTCGAGTGTGAGTCAAGGATGTAGACCACTGTGCCACGCATCTTCTGTTATGGCTTCCTTCCCTACACCAATGGCAAACACTCTAACGACAAGGCCGACGGGTACTTATCAACTGGGTGGCAAGTCATGTGAGAATAATAGGAAATGACATTGCAGACGAAGCTGCAAAATTATTTCCCACACAAAACAACCTGGTATACGGGAGACAGAAGGTGTTAAACACACTGGACACGACCCTATACAAGCCAACATAAGAGTCATAAACAATCGGCCACCGCTTGAGTGAGACAGAAACGAGTAACACTTGGTAGGCCAGCCAGAGGCTCAGGGACCACGCTCGTATATTCCTACAAAAAACATATAATGGTCATGGTGGGACAAGGAAGTGGAGGGGTGAGGTTATGGATCGGGTGAAGGGGGGTTGAGATGGGGGCATGGGGTGAGGGCTTGGGGTGAGGGCTGGGGGTGAGGGCTTGGGGTGAGGGTACTTACAGAGGAGATGGAGAGAGTTGGGAGGGGGGAGTGAGAGGCAAACTGAAGGGATGGATAATGAAAGAGAGAGAGCAGGGATAGGGGAGGGGAATCAGAGGAGGAGGGCTAATGTACTGAAGGGGTAGGGTAGGGGAGGAGGGTAAGTGGAAGGGGGAACAGATTAGTGGTCAACTGGCTAATTAATGATCCCTAGAGGCAGTCATGGAGAGCCAGGAGGGGAGGGGGGGGGAGGGGATCACGATCGATTAAGTGACAGTTTAATTATACAGATATTGCTCGCTACGATTTTTATACTTAATGAACTGGTCGTGGGGGAGAGGTCTGCGTCATGTGGTGGTCGTGGGTTGTGCATGTGGTGTGTACTCCAGTTGGTTGACAATTAAGAGGCGTGTCCAAAGAGCAGAAGCTCAACCCCCTCCGCGAGTACAACTACACGAATACAACTAGGTTATCTTGCGACGTATTTCGGTGCTCAATATCCCCGCGGCCCGGTCCTCGACCAGGCTTTCTAGGTGAGGAGTGGGGAGATGAGCCACAAGGGCGTCGACAGATTCCTACTTTTTCAGTGTCAAAGTAGGTAACAAACGGAATACATCAGGCAGTGATGTGGTGGAGGCTGACTCCGTACACAGTTGCAAGTGTAGATATGATAGAGCCCAGTAGGCTCAGGAACCTGTACACCAGTTGATTGACAGTTGAGAGGCGGGACCAAAGAGCCAAAGCTCAACCCCGCAAGCACAAATACGGTGAGTACACACACACACACACACACACACACACACACACGCACACACGCTGGGAAGACACACGAGCGTAGCTCTCATCCTGTAACTACACACACTTAGGTAATTACACACACACACACACACACACACACACACACACACACACACACACACACACACACACACACACACACACACACACACACACACACACACACACAGCGGACTGCGCTCGTGGGTCGTATAGTCCTAAGGGCCCGGGTTCAACTCCTGACGGAGGCGGAAACAATTGGGCAGAGCTTCTTTCACCCCGATGTCTCTGTTCACCTAGCAGTAAATAGGTACCTGGGAGTTGACAGCTGCTGCGGTCTGCTTCCTGGGTATGTGTGTGTGTGTATTCACCTAGTTCCCTTAGTTGTATTCACCTAGTTGTGTTTGCGGGGGTTGAGCTTTGCTCTTTTGGCACGTCTCTCAACTGTCAATCAACTGTTTAATAACTACTACTATTTATTATTCCACACCACACACACATACACCCCAGGAAGCAGCCCGAGACAGCTGACTAACTCCCAGGTACCTATTTACCACGTGACAGCTGACTAACTCCCAGGTACCTATTTACCGCTAGGTAACAGGAAAAACAGTACAAGATATGATGGACCGAGTCAAGTGGAAATGCAAGGATGCCGAAGATAGTTTTATACCAACAATAAAGGAATAAAGTAGGAGGGAATATAATAACCCATGGTTTAACAGACAGTGTCAGAGAGCAAAAGTGAGACGCAGGAGGGAGTGGAGGAAGTAGAGAGGACACAGGACAGAGGATAATAGAATTATTTGCAAGAGAGCTAGGAAGTAATACAATAATATAAGGAGAGTATCGGAAAGGAATTATGAGAACGATATTGCCATCAAAGCGAAAATGCAATCTAAATTACTACATAGTCATATAAGAAGGACAATGTCGGTGAACGACCAAGTGACAAGACTAAGGAAAACAGAAGGGGCATATACGGAAAGTGACAAGGAAATCTGTGAGGTACTGAGTGCCAGTTTCCATGGAGTGTTCACAACCGAGCCTGAGCGACTCCCATTGTTAGAAGAGGAGATAAACCAAGATGAGAGACTAACAGATATAGAGGTGAGAGCAGAGGAGGTAATGAAACAACTGACAACACTGGATGCAACTAAAGCAGTTGGACCAGACAAAGTATCACCGTGGATACTAACAGAGGCAGCGCAGACCCTCAGCGTGCCTCTTGAAAGGATCTATAATGAGTGACTTACGAAGGGAGAGTTGCCCAGTTGATGGAAGAAGGCAAATGTTGTACCAATTTTCAAGAAAGGAGATAGGGAAGAAGCACTTAACTACAGACCAGTATCACTGACAAGCATCCCCCAGTAAAGTGATTGAAAGAATAATCAGGTTAAGACCAGTTACACACTTGAGAAAATTAGGTATATAAACAAACACCAACGTGGGTTCAGAGAAGGGAAATCATGCCTAACAAACCTTCTGGAATTTTGTGATAAAGTAACAAGAATAAGGCAGGACAGGGAAGGATGGGCAGACGGCATATTTCTGGGCTGCCAAAAAGTCTTTGAGACCGTACCGCACAGGAGACTGTTGTTGAAACTTGAGAGGCAGGCGGGAGTAATCGGAAAAGCCGTAGCTTGGTTAAGGAATTACTTAACATGCAGGACCCAGAATAAAAGTCAGGAGAGAGAACTCAAATTGCTGAACAGCAACGAGTGGAGTACCTCAAGGATCGGTGTTGGGACCAGTTCTATTTCTAATATACGTGAATTACATGCCTACAGGAGTCGAGTCCTATATGTCGATGTTCGACGACGACGTGAAATTAATGAGAAGAGTTGTGACAGATGAGGATTGTAGGATCCTCCAAGACGACTTGAACAAGCTGCAGAGATGGTAAGAGAAATGGCTACTGGAGTTCAACACGAGCAAGTGTAAAGTTATGTAAATGGGACTATGTGACAGGAGACCAAAGGGTCAGAACACAATGAAGGGAAACTACCTTCCTGTGACGATTTGAGAAAGAGACCTGGGATTGGTCCTAACACCAAATCTATCTCCTGAGGCACATATAAATCGGATAACGACAGCAGCGAACTCTACACTAGTAAATGTTAGAACGTCATTCAGAAACATAAGTAAGGAGGCATTCAGAGCGCTTTACACTGCCTACGTGAGACCAATTTTAGAGTATGCAACCCCATCATGGAGCCTCCCACCTAAAGAAACATAAGGAAACTGGAAAAGGTTCAGAAATTTTGTGTCGATTCTCGTCCCAGAGTTGCGAGGGATGGGATATGAAGAGCGACAGAAGGAACTGAACCTGACGACGCTAGAAAAAAGTAGGGAGTGGGGTGATATGACTGCAACATATCACCCCATACTTAGGGGTGGCCAGAGTGGAAATAGACGAAATGTTCACACGAAATACTAACAGAATAAGGGGACATGGGTGGAAGCTGGAAACTGAGATGAGTCATAGATATGTTAGAAGATTTTCTTTTAACGTGAGAGTTGCGGGGAAATGGAATGAAGTTAAGGAACAGGTTGTGGAAGCAAACTATTCATAGTTTACTAGATATGATAGGGAAGAAGGATAGGAATATATGCTTTAAACAACCGGCGCCTAGCAGGGCGGGGTCCAAGAGCCAGTGCTCGATCCTGCAGGCACAAATAGGTGAGTACACACATTATATCACACACACACACACACACACACACACACACACACACACACACACACACACACACACACACACACACACACACACACACACACACACACACACACACACACACACACACACACACTGCACATAATCTCTCCCCGACTTCCTCTTGGTAATTTTGTACCAAGCTCTCCTGCTGTTGACCATTTGACCTTTTTCTTTCTCTCCCATCACCTCTCCTCTGCCTCCTCTACCAACACTTCATCTCTGTTTCCTCTCTCCTTCCCCCTAGTGTCTCTTCCCCCTAGTGTCTCCTCCCCCTAGTGTCTCTTCCCCCTAGTGTCTTCTCCCCCTAGTCTCTCCTTTCCCCTAGTGTCTCTTCCTCCTAGTGTCTCCTCCCCCTAGTAGTCTCTCCTCCCACCACTCCTGTGTCCTCCACTCCCGCTGCCTCGTCTGTCTCGCCACTGGACGCAATGAACCTTGGGTGCTGGGTGCTGGCTTCAAGCTTCCTCATAACACAAGATTATAGGAAGCTGCAGAAGACCTAATGCTGCCTAATAGGAGCTTACGAGGAGGCTCTTATTTATATGATGGAACAGTTATTGTCAGTGTTGAGAGCAGCTCTTGTCAGTGTTGAGAGCAGCTCTTGTCAGTGTTGGGGGGCAGGTCTTGTCAGTGTTGGGGGGCAGGTCTTGTCAGTGTTGGGGGGGGGGGGGGGCAGGTCTTGTTAGTGTTGGGGGGCAGGTCTTGTCAGTGTTGGGGCAGGTCTTGTCAGTGTTGGGGGGCAGGTCTTGTCAGTGTTGGGGGGCAGGTCTTGTCAGTGTTGGGGGCAGGTCTTGTCAGTGTTGGGGGGTAGGTCTTGTCAGTGTTGGGGGGCAGGTCTTGTCAGTGTTGGGGGCAGGTCTTGTCAGTGTTGGGGGGCAGGTCTTGTCAGTGTTGGGGGGCAGGTCTTGTCAGTGTTGGGGGGCAGGTCTTGTCAGTGTTGGGGGGGGGGGCAGGTCTTGTTAGTGTTGGGGGCAGGTCTTGTCAGTGTTGGGGGGGGCAGGTCTTGTTAGTGTTGGGGGGCAGGTCTTGTCAGTGTTGGGGGGCAGGTCTTGTCAGTGTTGGGGGGGCAGGTCTTGTTAGTGTTGGGGGCAGGTCTTGTCAGTGTTGGGGGGGGCAGGTCTTGTTAGTGTTGGGGGGCAGGTCTTGTCAGTGTTGGGGGGGGGCAGGTCTTGTTAGTGTTGGGGGGCAGGTCTTGTCAGTGTTGGGGGGCAGGTCTTGTTAGTGTTGGGGGGCAGGTCTTGTCAGTGTTGGGGGGGGGGCAGGTCTTGTTAGTGTTGGGGGGCAGGTCTTGTCAGTGTTGGGGGGCAGGTCTTGTCAGTGTTGGGACAGGTCTTGTCAGTGTTGGGGGGCAGGTCTTGTCAGTGTTGGGGGGCAGGTCTTGTCAGTGTTGGGGGGCAGGTCTTGTCAGTGTTGGGCGGCAGGTGTTGTCAGTGTTGGGCGGCGGGTGTTGTCAGTGTTGGGCGGCGGGTGTTGTCAGTGTTGGGCGGCGGGTGTTGTCAGTGTTGGGCGGCGGGTGTTGTCAGTGTTGGGCGGCGGGTGTTGTCAGTGTTGGGCGGCGGGTGTTGTCAGTGTTGGGGGGGCGGGTGTTGTCAGTGTTGGGGGGCGGGTGTTGTCAGTGTTGGGGGGCAGGTCTTGTCAGTGTTGGGGGGCAGGTCTTGTCAGTGTTGGGGCAGGTCTTATTTACTTATTTATTCACTTATTTACGAATTATTAAATAAGTGATTTTTTACGAATTTCTTCTTATTTACGAATAATACATTTCTTGTTTACGTTTTGTTTTCTAATTATTCTCTTATTTTACGATTATTTCTTATTATTTTCTTATTTACAAATGTTATAGATATGCATCACTGAGGAAAGTGTTCCTCTTTATATGGACCTTGAACCGTGTGTGTGATGGCCAGGTGTTATAACTCCTTATGCTGAGGACACGAAGTCTAATGCTGAGGACACGAAGTCTAATGCTGAGGACACGAAGTCTAATGCTGAGGACACGAAGTCTAATGCTGAGGACACGAAGTTTAATGCTGAGGACACGAAGCCTAATGCTGAGGACACGAAGTCTAATGCTGAGGACACGAAGTCTAATGCTGAGGACACGAAGTCTAATGCTGAGGACACGAAGCCTAATGCTGAGGACACGAAGTCTAATGCTGAGGACACGAAGCCTAATGCTGAGGACACGAAGTCTAATGCTGAGGACACGAAGTCTAATGCTGAGGACACGAAGTCTAATGCTGAGGACACGAAGTTTAATGCTGAGGACACGAAGCCTAATGCTGAGGACACGAAGTCTAATGCTGAGGACACGAAGCCTAATGCTGAGGACATGAAGTCTAATGCTGAGGACACGAAGTCTAATGCTGAGGACACGAAGCCTAATGCTGAGGACACGAAGTCTAATGCTGAGGACACGAAGCCTAATGCTGAGGACACGAAGTCTAATGCTGAGGACACGAAGTTTAATGCTGAGGACACGAAGTCTAATGCTGAGGACATGAAGTCTAATGCTGAGGACATGAAGTTTAATGCTGAGGACATGAAGTCTAATGCTGAGGACACGAAGTTTAATGCTGAGGACACGAAGCCTAATGCTGAGGACACGAAGTCTAATGCTGAGGACACGAAGTTTAATGCTGAGGACACGAAGTCTAATGCTGAGGACATGAAGTCTAATGCTGAGGACATGAAGTTTAATGCTGAGGACATGAAGTCTAATGCTGAGGACATGAAGTCTAATGCTGAGGACACGAAGCCTAATGCTGAGGACACGAAGTTTAATGCTGAGGACACGAAGTCTAATGCTGAGGACACGAAGTCTAGTGCTGAGGACACGAAGTCTAATGCTGAGGACACGAAGTCTAATGCTGAGGACACTAAGTCTAATGCTGACACTAAGTCTAATGCTGAGGACACGAAGCCTAATGCTGAGGACACGAAGTCTAATGCTGCTGAGTCTAATGCTGAGGACACGAAGTCTAATGCTGAGGACACGATGTTGGACACGAAGTCTAATGCTGAGGACACGAAGTCTAATGCTGAGGACACGAAGTCTAATGCTGAGGACACTAAGTCTAATGCTGAGGGCACGAAGTCTAATACTGAGGACACGAAGCCTAATGCTGAGGACACGAAGTCTAATGTTGAGGACACGAAGTCTAATGCTGAGGACACGAAGTCTAATGCTGAGGACACTAAGTCTAATGCTGAGGACACGAAGTCTAATGCTGAGGACACGAAGTCTAATGCTGAGGACACGAAGTCTAATGCTGAGGACACGAAGTCTAATGCTGAGGGCACGAAGTCTAATGCTGAGGACACTAAGTCTAATGGACACGAAGTCTAATGCTGAGGACACGAAGTCTGAGGACACGAAGTCTAATGCTGAGGACACGAAGTCTAATGCTGTCTAATGCTGAGGACACGAAGTCTAGTGCTGAGGACACGAAGTCTAATGCTGAGGACACTAAGTCTAATGCTGAGGGCACGAAGTCTAATGCTGAGGACACGAAGCCTAATGCTGAGGACACGAAACTATCTATCTTATCTTTGGCTTATCTAGGTCCCCGTTAAGCCAACTTCAGACCTGTCCCAAGATGCCACCCACAACAGCTGCCTAACTCCCGTGGTTCTTACTTTATTCCTAGGTGAACATCAGGTGTAAGGAAACGTGTTCAACCGTTTCTGTCCTGCAAGGGGATTGAACCTGCGTAAAGTATTTTACGTAATATTATTACCATTACGAACCTGCGTAACTCGGCTGTGTACGTTGAAACACGACCCTAATGTTGATTTTTTCGTTTTTTTGTTTGCAGGGATTTTCCTGCGCGGGCCCTAAGCCTCTGGCTGGGCCATTAAATGTTGCTTGTTTCTGTTTTACTTGGGTGGAGTATGAGTATTTATGACTCGTATGGTCGCTTCACTAAGATTTTGTCCCATGTGTTTAACAACTTCTTCTACTCTGTTGAATCTAAGTTGAAATCTTAATGGGTTTGTAACTGTGCACTGTGTTAGATAGTGTTCCAGTGGTCTGTCGGGCATTTCTCCACAGTGCTGACATTTCCTCTCATCTTCCGGAACCTGTAAGCCTATTTCCCATGCACATGGGAATCTAAGCCTGATGCGATGTAAGTGTACTTCTGTTGTTCTACTGCTCCCCTTTTATCAAACTAAGTGGTTCGTAGTTGGTTGAATTCTTGTAACAACCCGCAGATCTTAATGTTGCAACTGCTGTGTTGTGGTCACTGTTCATCTTTTGCATTGCTGTTTCTAATTACTTTCTTAATCTGTGAAAGACTCTGTGGTATGTAAATGTCTACATTTCCTCTCTTAGTTGCAAGTTTTGCAGCTTCGTCTGCAGTGTCATTTCCTATTATTCCCACATGACTTGGCACCCAGTTGATAAGTACCCCGTCGGCTTTGTCATTTGAGTGTTTGCATTAATGATATAACATTTGTGATCAGATGGATGTTATCACGTATGTGTTCATGTTGAAAGGTTTCAATGGCAGTTCTTGAATCTGTATGCATGATAACATGTTGTCGGTGTTCAGCAAGAGCATGTTACAAGGCCTTTTGAATGGCTAGCATCTCTGTTTGTAAAGTTGAACACCCGTTTGAGAGTCTCCAACTATTTACAGACGTTTCCTGCTTTAACTGCAGCTCCAGTTTCTTATCCCTGCTGGTCTACTGAACCATCTGTGAAGTAAGTGAAGCTGTCAGATGCCAAGTTTGCTTCTTTATGCATCTGTGCAATATTACGTAGCATATGCGGATTAGTCTGGTTCTTTTTTCCCTACAAGAGCCAAAATCTAAAAGTCTGCTGATAGCGATTCCCAAGGGGCTTGCATAACAAAGTCTGCATGTATTTCGTCGACACCCTTCTCAGTGATTGTGTTTGTAATATTGAATGTATTGATGGTGTTTATCACACAATGGGTCCACCTGTTGCTATTGGAGGCTCTTCTGTCCAGAGTTGGTGCTCCAGTGATTATATCTTTAAGTGAACTGATTCTAGGTCTAGTCAATACCTTAGTCAACATGCATGCAGCATTCCCTTTTACTCTTATTTCAATTGACGTTAGCTTGGTTTGTAGTCTTAGGTTCAGTATTTTAGTCCATCTGGGAGCTCCTGTTATGACTCACATTACATCGTTTTGAATAACCTCAACGTGTGCCCACTGGCCAGGAGAAAGAGTGAGTAAGGCAGGCGCTGCATAATCAACTAGGGAACGAACGGCGTGTATGTAAAACATTCTTAACACTTTGTGTCCCGCTCCTAGACGGGGCCCTGTGATTGCTCTCATTATATTCAGTCGTGATTTTCCTTTCTCCTTCAGATATTGAATTTGCTTGTTGAATGCCATTTTAGAATCTATCCACACTCAGAGATATTGATATTGTGTAACCCACTGAGGGTCAATGTCTTGAATGCGTAGGTGCCTGTCTGGAGTGTTGCCACCTAGTCTCATTGCCTTAGACTTTTGTGCAGATATTTTTAGGCCTAAAATGCTGCATTCAGATGTACTTTATCTAATGCCCCTTTTGCTTTATTTAGAAGTGAAGAACCTGTAATGACTAATGCTATATCATCAGCATAGATTAGCAATTTAACCCTTTCTGTAAATGTCATGGTAACGAGGTTTTCCATAAGGATGTTGAAAAGACTAGGACTGAAGATTCCTTCTTGTGGAGTCCCATTCTCATGCAAGTGGTAGTCCAACACTTTTCAACTTTACTCTGGCATACCTGTGACGTAGGTAATCTTGAATCCATGCTAGCATATTTCCTTTTACACCTTTTTTTAACTAAGGTGTATAAAATTGCTTGAAAGTTCGAATGCTTTTTCTAGATCAAGGAAGATCACTATAGCTGGACCCGAGTTAACTGTTCCTAGTAATGTTGCTATGCAGTTGGCAGTACCTACTCCTCTAGTGAAGCCAAATATGTGTTTATGCAGGTCTCCAGTCTTCCACAGTAGCCAATTTAAGACCATCCGTTCTGCAGTTTTACTAATGCATGATGTTAATGAAATGGGTCTGTAATTGCCAGGTTCTTTCGGCTTAGGAATCGGAATGAAGTCTGCTTTCTTCCAAGAGGTCGGTAGTTTGCCTTGCTGCCAAGATGCATTGATGACGTCCAATATTCCTCGTTCTCCAGCAGGACCTGCATATGCGATCATTGAGTATGTAATGTTATCAGCACCTGGTGCAGTGTCCTTACCACCTTTTTTGGCTCTGATTAGTTCTTGTTTGGTGAAGGGACAATCACATTCGTCATTTGTAACTATGCTCTCATGATTGGCTGTCAACCTCTCTTGTTTTAATTGTTCTTGCTGCCTTCTGACCATTGCAGGAAGCTGATATGAAACTGTTCTCTCTGCAAATTGGAGAGCAAGCCTCTCAGCCTCCTGAAATGGTTGAATACATGCCTGTGGTCAGGCTGGTCAACCTGATATGGTTTTAGTCTGACCCCATATCTTGCCAAGACTACTATGTTCATTTAGAGTTGGACACCACTCAAACCATCTCTCCTCCTTTACCTCTCTAGAAACTCGTCTTGCTTCAGATATCACCGCTCTTAGCAGAGTTCTTCCTTCTGGTGTGGGGTTTCTCTTTAGATGTTTTCTGAAGATGTTGACTCTGTGATTTTGTTCTTTAACTTCATTACTGTAGAACCAATAGTTCTTTATTTTTGTGTTTCCTGTGATAATGATTGGAATAGCATTGTTTGCAGCAGCTGTAATGGCTTCCTGGAGATTGGTCTCGTGTATGTTCAAATCTTCAGGTGGCGTGTACGTTGCATACCATTTTTCAAGTTCCTCTTGGTATATATATTCCAATTGGCCTTTCTTAAATTCCACCTAGGTTGTGCAGGTGGTGTAGGAGGTCGTTCTGTGTTTAGTGTAGTGACAGTAGCATAGTGGTCACTGGTGATCACCAGGTCTACCTCCCACTTCGCCTGATGCTTGAGTGCTGTTGAGATCATTGTAAGACCAACGGAACCCACCTTTGAATGTGAGTGGGTTTCCCAGTGTTGAGAAGTATAATTTCAGGTACTTCTCACAGAGCTGCAGCTAAATGGCGCCCATCTGCATCGGCTGGCCCAGTCGCACCTAACTCTTGATGATGAGCATTAAAGTCCCCAGCAATAATTATATTTTCGTGCGCCGCCAGGGCAAGCACTGTCTCTGCTTCTAGTTTCTGTCCAGGGGACTTGTAGACGTTGTTTATGAGGAGCTCAATATTAGCCATATTTACTGTTACTGCTAATACCTCTACTCAATCCTCACATTAAACTGGGTCTATTTTCTTGCTGGGTATGGTGTTCCTGACTAGGGTCATTAACCCTTTTTGTCTTACCTGTTCATACGGTATAACATAGTGCTGATATCCAACTAATCTGAAGGATTTCGTGGCTGAGAAAAGAGTTTCTTCCAAAACGATTATATCTGCTTTCATGCTGATTGCAGCCTCCTGAAGGGTGTGGTTTTTATTTGCAAGACCTTGTATGTTCCACTGCAGTATTCGTAATGGCCAGACGACGGTTTCGGTTGGTGTTGCCTGTTCTAGTTGAACTCCTCTTCGGAATCGACGTCTATATTCTCCACCTCGCAAGTCGTGACGCATCACTGCACTGATTGCTCGTGGTCATCCTCTGTATTGTTGGAATCTGTGCATAACTGTGGTCCATCGCTTTGTTGTTGGTATTCCTGCATGTCGGTCTGCATTGATTGCTCGTGGCTGTTTCTTGTGTTGTCGGAATCTGTGCATCTCTCCCATCCAGTATTTCGTTGTTGATGTTGCTGCATATCGGGCTGCATTGATTGTTCATGCCTGCCTCTTGTGTTGTTGGAACCTGTGCATCTCTGCCGTTCAATACTTCTTTGTTGGTGTTGTTGCATATCAGACTGCATTGGCTGTTGGTGTCTGTCTCTTGTGTTGTAAGATTCTGTTGATCTTGGGTGGTCACTGCTTCTTGCAGTTGCTTTTGTAAATGTTGGTGTTCTGGTGTCTTGACTACCCGACTGTTGTTGGTAGTCTGTATGTCCATGTTGCGTTGTTTTTCTTCTTGTGCTTCGTCTTGTCTCAGACTGTCTATTTCTTGTGTAACTGTGGTCTGCTGCACGATCTTGTCCATTATTACACAAGTGATTTCCTGAGTCTGTTGCTGTGAGGCGTTCTGCGTCATCTGTAGACAATTGATGATGTTCTCTGCCATGATCTTCACGATGTTTTTCAGCTGGACCTCGGAGGTAAAACTGTATATTTGTTGTGTTGATTCCGAAAGTGATTGCATTTTGCTCTCTTGCTTTTGCTGTATTTCTGCAGCATTTTTGTGTATTTTCTTATTTGGAATTGATAGATTCGCGAAAGTTTCCTCTGTGAGAGCGGGTGTGTGCTGTGGCTGTGTACAAGTGTTCCAGAGGTTGGTGTTGGTGTATGTGGTGCTGGTCTGTGGGTTTATCCTGGCCTGAGTTGTCTGCACCATTGGGGTCGGCTCCATTGCCTCCCCCCCCCTTCACACCCATGAGTGGGGTCGGATCCCATGGGGACCCCCATGAACTCGCTGGAGTTAAAATTCATATTGTTTCATCGTAAGTTCATAATATTTCGAAATAAGATATTGACATGCAGAGTGCATATTCCGAAGGCCGAGTAAACCAGGAGGAGCCGTGAGCGGGTTCGAATCCTCTTTATGGGTTCTACTCATCTTCTCACTGATACATCACGTTAATGGGATTCCATTGTTGCTGGTTCGTTCTAAGGCTCCTGACACACATTGTGTAAACCTTTGAGGTCGCCCCGGGCGCCGCCGGGTTCCTCCTCAGACTTCGGATATTGCGCTAGTTATATACCCATTCACACTTCAATTACTGGATACAAATCTCAAGATTTGCATTAACAGGGCACAGCATAGCAACTAATTTTCTATGATTGGCAAAATTGGCAAGACTTTAACCAATCTTGACAATAATAGAGAAACGTTACCTTTACTAACCTTGTACAAAAACTTCAGCTCTGGGAAAACTATGCCAGTAGTTATTTTATTAAATTTATTTATTATTCAATGAACTGTAATTATTTTAATTATTGATTAATTATTTTATTAAGCGGAGTGTATAAGTTATTATTTAAAATCACTGATAAACTTCCACTTCAGCCATTTAGGGGGGTTATAATTATTAAATTTGGTTAGACCGTATATATCAACGGTTAACATTATTTGTTTCACTAAACTGTATTTGAATGGTTAGTGGATGTGGTTAGTGTAAGTGAATTATAGCCTTTACTGACTAGAAGGCTTCCACAGTAATCGTGGAACCTGTACTGAACTCGTGAGTGGAACCTGTACTGCACCCATGAGTGGAACCCGTACTGAACCCGTGAGTGGAACCGGTATTGAAACCGTGAGTGGAACCTGTACTGAACCCGTGAGTGGAACCTGTATTGAACTCGAGTGAAACCTGTATTGAACTCGAGTTGAACCTGTACTGAACGTGAGTGGAACCTGTATTGAACTCGAGTGGAACCTATACTGAACCCGAGTGGAACCAGACTACTATGGCAGCCTCAACATTAATGACAATTCTTCACTAACAGAGTAGTCCCGACTCCAGCCTGTCAACAACATAGCTATGTACAAATACAATAATTACAATGATGATTTTATGGCAAATCTATGACTCGATTTACTAGTATTAAACTAACCCAATTCGTGCTGGAAGTTTATGCCATTTAACCAGCTAATCTAACATGTCTTATACATTGGCCGATAAGAACTAGGTAGACGGATAATTAAGCACTTCCCTATTGTTGCTGTAGTCGAATCCGTCCGTCAATTTAGGTCTTTAGTATTTCAAATACCGACGATGCGATCCAAGAGACACAGACCAAATGTACGTGTGCTGGCTGGGTAGGCTTGATGTGCGATAATAATGGCTACTCCTCCTACTCCTCCCTGAGGAAGCGACTCTAAAATATGGTTCTCTTTTTTTTATAAATAATTGCAAGGAAGAGTTTTATTCTAATTTTACTAATAGCTGGTAATTTAGTGAAGAGTAATTTGTTAGTTCTAGTTCTAAGACTGTTGAATTAAGTATTTAGTGATTAATTACATGGGTATTAAATTGATTTCTGCTACGTGGCAATAAATCTCATTTTCTAGAGGAAAATGCCACGAATATAGTTTTCTCTATGAGTAACTAATGTATTTTTATATTTAATAAATACAAAAATCAACAGCAATATTATTTCCTGCATATTGTATAGGAAGTTAGTAATTGTTGTCGGAAATGTCCGACACCAGCTTATGTTCAAGCTTAGTGTATATAGTTCCTACGAGCAGACCACCAACATGCCCGCGGCGACCTCTCCCGACACCAACACATCATCTTGAAACACATGACTACAATCTATGCTTTTCCATGCCAGACTTTTACTGTCAGCCCCAAAGTTCTCAATATATAGGCAAGACGATGCATCTCTTAAAAGTGCCCGACAATGCACACACACAACAACGCACCATCAAGAATAGCATCTATTCCACACACACAACCAGACCATCACTAAACAACCAGGAACCACAGAGTAATCGACAGATACAGTCATAATAAGAGAGTGGACTGAGCAGAATCACTTAACATCAAACACTAGTATTAATGAAAAAGCAGAAACAAGATTACCTTGTCTTCGCGACAGGATCTTACAGGTGCCCCGAGACAGGGTGATACATACCCAAGGATCCTACAAGTGTCCACAGGCAGGGTGACACATACCCACGTCGCAATTATGATGTTTCATACACCACACTCACTCTTTAAAACATCCAATTTACCCGTCAGAGAAATAAAATCTCACAGGAAGTTCCACCCTCTGAGGAACTGGGCATTACGGGTGCCCAGGTCTCAGCCTCCTAGGACCTGAGGACGCAAGGGGCAGTCCTAGGAGGGGGAGGAGGGGGTCAACGTTGGTTTGGGTAAAGATAATTTTGGTTTACCGTCCCGGCTGAGAGGAGGCGAAGACGGAGGGAGTGGACGGAGGTGTTGTCTGGTCCGGCGCTGGCCTGATACTGGCTATACATGCTTATTGATTGTCTGCTTGTTGCTCGAACAGGTGGGTCTTGAGCCGCCCACACCAGCTGTATAGCCTCCTAGCACCCACCACCACACCTGTCCTAGCACCCACCACCACACCTGTCCTGGCACCCACCACCACACCTGCCCTAGCACCCACCACCACACCTGTCCTAGCACCCACCACCACACCTGTCCTAGCACCCACCACCACACCTGTCGTAACACCCACCATCACACTTGTCCTAGCACCCACCACCACACCTGTCCTAGCACCCACCACCACACCTGTCCTAGCACCCACCACCACACCTGTCGTAACACCCACCATCACACCTGTCCTAGCACCCACCACCACACCTGTCCTAGCACCCACCACCACACCTGTCGTAACACCCACCATCACACCTGTCCTAGCACCCACCACCACACCTGTCCTAGCACCCACCACCACACCTGTCGTAACACCCACCATCACACCTGTCCTAGCACCCACCACCACACCTGTCCTAGCACCCACCACCACACCTGTCCTGGCACCCACCACCATAACACCTGTCCTAGCACCCACCACCACACCTGTCCTAGCACCCACCACCACACCTGCCCTAGCACCCACCACCACACCTGTCCTAGCCCCCACTGCAATACCTTTCCTAGGTGTGTTCAACCATGGAAAGATAGACTGGGAGAATGGGGACCCACATGGAGGTGCAGATACGTGGCGAGCTAAACTTTTGGAAGTGGCAACAAGGAACTTTCTGAGCCAGCATGTCAACGAACCCACAAGAGTGAGAGGCAATGATGAACCAGCTAGACTCGACTTGATATTCACCCTGAATGAGTCAGAAATAAGGGAAGTCAAAGTTGAAGCCCCATAGGAATGAGTGACCACAGTGTACTGACTTTAGAGTACTTGGTGGAGGTAGGGATAACCTATCCAAGGATGGGATCGGAGGGAAAAAGACTAAATTATCGAAGAGGAAAATATGACGAGATGAGAAACTTCCTCAGGGGAATACCATGGGAAACAGAACTTAGAGACAAGAATGTACAGGTCATGATGGATTTTGTCACCCAGAAGTGCCAGGAAGCTGCAGACAGGTTTATCCCTGTCCAAAAGGAGAAAAACGAAAAACAACAGAAAAACCCATAGTTCAACCAGGAGTGCAAGGTAGCGAAGCAACTGAGTAAAAGAACATGGAGAAACTACAGAAATAACAGAACACCGGAGAGCAGGGAGAGATACCAGAGGGCCAGAAATGAGTACCTCAGAGTGAGGAGGGAAGCAGAGAGACAGTTTGAAAATGACATAGCGAGTAAAGCCAAGACCCAACCAAAGCTGCTCCACAGCCACCTCAGGAGGAAAACAGCAGTGAAGGAACAAGTGACGAAACTGAGAAAAGGGGAGAACAGATACACAGAGAATGACAAGGAGGTGTGTGAAGAACTCAACTAGAGATTCCACGAGGTCTTCACAATAGAGCAAGGAGAAGCCCTTGCACTAAATGAAGAGGCGGCAAACAAAGCAACCTTGGAGGAATTTGACTTCACCAGTGATGAGGTCAAAAGGTGTCTGCTGGAGCTGGATGTAACAAAGGCTGTTGGGCCTGACAGAATCTCACCATGGATACTAAAGGAAGGTCCAAAAGCACTAAGTGTGCCACTCTCTATGGTGTATAACAGGTCACTGGAAACAGGAGACTTACCAGAAAGTTGGAAGACAGCTAACGTAGTCCCAATATACAAGAAGGGTGACAGGCAAGAGGCACTGAACTTCAGGCCAGTTTCCCTAACTTGTATACCATGCAAGGTGATGGAGAAGATCGTGAGGAAAAGGCTCGTAGAGCATCTGGAGGGAAATAACTTTGTAACGCACCATCAACATGGATTCAGGGATGGTAAATCGTGCCTCACAGGTTTAATAGCCTTCTATAACCAGGCAACAAAAATTAGGCAGGAAAGAGAAGGGTGGGCCAAGTGCATTTTCCTAGACTGCCAGAAAGCCTTTGACACAGTACTCCATAAAAGGCTGTTAAAAAAGTTGGAGCAACAGGCAGGAGTAAAAGGGAAGGTGCTCCAGTGGATAAGGGAGTACTTAAACAACAGGAAACAGCGAGTAACGGTGAGGGGAAGACATCAGAGTGGCGAGATGACACCAGCGGAGTCCCACAGGGCTCAGTACTTGGATCCATAATGTTTCTAATATATGTAAACGATCTTCCGGAGGGTATAGACTCGTTCTTCTCAATGTTTGCTGATGATGCAAAAATTGTGAGAAGAATCAAGACGGATGAAGATAGACAGAGACTACAGGATGACCTGGACAGACTGGAGGAATGGTCTAGAAAATGGCTGCTAAAGTTCAACTCAGGAAAGTGTAAAGTAATGAAATTAGGCGAAGGGAGCAGGAGGCTGAACACAAGGTATCATCTAGGAGGTGAAATCCTGCAAGAGTCAAATAGAGAGAAAGATCTGGGGGTTGATATCACACCGAACCTGTCCCCAGAGGCCCACCTCAAAAGAATATAATCAGCGGCATATGC